AGCAGCCCAAACATCAGGGTCTCTGAAGAAATCTTGGCCCCAAAATGTATTTTGGGCTTGTATTCCCAGTACCAGGCACCACCCTTAACTGTGTTTATGCGCATGTATTAGCCCATGTGTGTGTTTGCACAGTTCCAACATGGCTCATGGACAGGATCATTGTAGTTCCCAACCAATCAGGAAAGGCTTCAGAGACCCCTGCTTTTCACATTCAGCACACACTGAACTGCAGTCTTCTGCTTGGCGCAGGCTCTACCGAAAGCCTCAGAAAACAGCCTACACCTGTTCAGAAAACAGCCTACACCTCAGTCCCACAGGGAAAATGGCCTAAGAAACCCTTGTTCTCTCTTTGAACTAAGACAAAATTCCCAGCCCTAATCGTGGCTTCACCATGCACACATCACAGTAATAACCAACAGCAAGGAGACAGGCACAAGTATTTTATTTGGCAATTTGAACCTGACCCAGAGGGCAGCTTCTGTTCCCTCCACCTTTCTGACCCCTGGCACCGCCCCGGCTCCACAGCACAGAAGCACAGAGGTGCAGTGCACAGGACAGGTGGGACCACCAGCCTGCAGCAACAGAACCTGGCACCGTCCAGCCACCCCGGGGCAGCGCTTCCAGGAACGTCACTCAATGGGTTACAGAGTCCAAGAGTTGACTCCTCACGTATCTGGAAGGCGAAGGAGAGTTCCAGAACTAGTGGCGACACTGTGTAAGAGAAAGATAAGACTGGAGTCATCTGCCTCGACCCACAGTGTGCTTCTGAGTCTCCAAAAAGATGAAGCAAACTGGCTTTCACTAGTGAATGAAGCATGACCTGGGGACACCCCACCCGAGTCACTGCAATTTTCCTGAGATTCAGGACTAGACTCACCAGTCCACTAGCTGGGCTCCAATGAGGTCATGCACATGGTAGGCAAGGCCCAGCCGCACTGCCGAAGGGGGCCTACGGCCCAGCAGCTCCGACAGGAGAAGTTCCCGGTATTTGGCCTTCCGCACCATGCTAAGTACAGCCCGGCGCCCTGGAGGAGGTGGCCCAGGAAAAGGAGGAGGTGAGTCTGACATGGAGACCTAAAGACCCCACAGGTGTTTTTGAGGCACTGAGGACTTGTCTGTAGGCAGCACACCTTTAACAAAGCACTTGATGAATCTCCCAGCTCCAGGCACAGCCAGCCACCAGCTCCCAGCATCTCGGACAGTGAGGACTCCAGCATTCACCAGGTGTCTGCAGGTGTGGGGAGGCCAGGTCAGTGCAGCCAGGGCATCCCTGTTCCCCAACTATTGATGTGTAGACACCAAGTGTCCAGAAATACAGACAACCCAAGGCAGGATCCACTTACCCTGCTGGCTTCACCATCCCTGCCTGAGTGTCCCTCTGTATTCTTTTCCTCTATAACCTTGCTTATATGTGTACATGTGTTTGTGTGTGCATGCAGGCATGTAAGTACACCGTGTGTGTGTGTGTGTGTGCATGCAGGCATGTAAGTACACAAGCACACACAAGCATATAGATAGAGGCCACAGGTTTACATTAAGTATGTATAATCACTCTCAACTTTTTTAAAAAATCATTACTACTGTATGTGTATGGGTGTTTTGGCAACATATCTATCTGTACACCACATGCATGCAGTATTTGTGGAGGCCAGAGAGGGCACTGCATCCCCTGAGACTGGAGTTACAGACAGCTGTGAGTCATTTTGTGGGAGCTGGGAATCGAACTCTGGATCTCTGGGAAAGCAGACAGTGCTCTTAACCACTTAGTCATCTCTCCAGCTCCATCCCCCCTTTTATTTTTTCAAGACAAGGTCTCTCTCTCTCTCTTTCTCTCTGTAGCCCTGGCTCTCCTAGCACTATGACCAGGCTGGTATCAAACTCAGACATCCACCTGTTTCTGCCCACTAAATGCTGGGATTGACTTGTTTTTTGAGACAGGGTCTATCTCTGAACCTGGGACTCACTGGTTTGGCTACACCTTGCTGTAGGGTATTCACTTGCCTCTGTCCCTTTCAGCACGGGGTGCAGACACCTGCTGTGCTCAGCGTATGACCCTGAAGCCTGCACAGCAGGCCCGGCCCTTTGCTGACTGCTGATAAAACAGCTTCCTTAGGAGGCTTCCCTGACACAGCCCTGAGATGCGCCTAAGGAGTGCGGGTCGTCTCAGGGCACACATAACCTAAGAACGCCCCCACTCAGCCCCTGATACTTCTCAGGAGAGACCAGAGACCTCACACACCCGTGAGTTTAGGCACCTTTCGTACCAAGACCTTGATTAGTACTTTTCCCTTTTCTCTGTGGGGACCCTGTGAACGTGATCTTTAGGGACACTGAAGCCTCGACCGTCCTGTGTTGTCAATAAAGAGCACTGTTAGGCATGGCTCCTGCTAGGCCTCCTGTGTCTGGCAAGCCTCTCACTCTCCTGACCTAATGACCCCACAATGTCTCACGTGATTTCCGAGTCCCTGAAGCCATAAGTCTGTGTCATCTGGTCCTGCTGTAAACTAAGGTCCCCACAGGCTGGGAGTACCGAGGCCAGGAACTTCTGCACTGCCGCAGCACACGGTCGGCCATCACAGGCCTTCAGGACCTGGAAGCAGAGTTGATGTCTGTGAGCAGGGTGACCCCACCCTGCACGTGGTTCTCTATCCACCTCATCCTGACTCCTCCCTCTCTGGGGTCCTTCCACTTCTCAGACCCTTTTCCCTACTCCCCCATAGTTCCTGGTCTCCTCCCCCAATCTTACTACTTACCAGAGCTCTGGGCACTGTTTATGAGTTGTGGGCTAGGGGTAATGTTTCTTTTGTTGTTTCTATGCCCAACTCCCCTGTCTGCCTACCCCCCCCCCTCTCTCTCTCACACACACACACACACACACAGACACACACGTACTCTGGTCCTGTAGTCTTCAGTGAAGACAATTCCATGAGCATCCAAGTCAAAGCCTAGTTGAATGATCTTGATCTCTCCCCGCTCTTGAAGCTCCTTCTGTCTCCACAGAGATGAGAGTAGAAAGAAAGACGTAAGACAAGCTGAGCACTGGGGCAGGGGGTCTGACTGCCAGTGTGTGGGGGTGGGGCAGGGGCTGTGATGGGATTGGGACATCTAACCACGCAGGAAGATACTCTGGTGGACCGCCAAGCAGCCCTTTCCAACTAGTCACCTCAAACAATCCATAGAACCATCCTCTAAACCACACCCTTACCAGTCACTGCATCAAACAGTGATGAGGGTATAGGGCATGCCTTTAATCCCAGCACCCGGAAGGCAGAGGCAGGCAGATCTGTGAGTTTGAGGTCAGCCTGGTCTGCAGAGTGAAGTTCTAGGCCAGCCAGAGCTACAAAGTGAGACTTTGTCTTAAAACAGTTTTTTTTTTTTTTTTTTTGCTTAAACATTAAAAAGTTCAGAAAATCGTAGGAACTGCCAGACAGATATTTTAAAGTGGGACCAAAGACTCTGACAGAAAGGAAACGCTGAGGCACGTTTGCTGATCTAAGCAAAGCCCATGACCAAATATAACTCGGCGCAATATTTGCTGCAGAGCACCCAGTTCAGTTGCCATGTCTGGTGGCTCCAGGAATCCAGTGCCCTCTTCTGGCCTCGGAGGGTGCATACATATGTGGACACACACACATGCACATAGCCACAAACAGAACAAATACTTTTAAACAAAATACTAATCTAAGGGAGATTATAAACTATTCAATACAATAATATGAGAGCCAAAAATACTGAATACAGAAGTGCCTTCAGGGGTTCAAAGTCTGTTTAATTTGAGTTCCAGAAGAAAGCAAAGAGAGGATGCAGAGAAAATGTTTAAGAGCTGGTGACAGGGCTGGTGAGGTGACTCTGCTGTCAGGCCTGTTGACCTGAGTTTAACCCTCCCTTCCCCATCAAGAGAACAGAGTCCCTCTAGCTGTCTTCCGACTTCCATACATGCGCACACACACGCACACACACATATACAAAAATAAAGAGTCAATAGTAAATGAAAAAGTCAGAGGATTATACGACTCCAGTTCTCATAAGTTCACAGAACAAGGAAATAGATAATCAGTGAAGAAACAGTATTTCAATTATAACCTCAGCGAGAGAGATCAGTGATTGAACAGTATTTTTTTTTTCTAAATACACATCTACAACACTGAACAAAAGAGGCCATGCCTGGGGTCATCATGATCTTGTGTATATTCTCTGGCCACAATGTCATGTAAGAACACAGTAACAAGTCTGGAGTGTGTGGCACAGATCTTACTAACCCCAGACGGTCACAAACAAGGTAGGAAGACATTTTCAATGGATCAACGATGAAAATATAATTTGAATCTTAGGTGAAATTCATAACTCATCAAAACACATGTTTCAAAAGGATGCACAAACTGGAATAGGTTCATGGCATGGAAACCTATGAAAATGAATTAACTATTGTTACAGGCAACTTAGAATAATCTCAAAAATACCCAGCTAATTAAAAAGAATGAATACAGTGTTGTAGCTTTCTTCAGATTGCTGAAACTGGGTAATTAACACATGGCAGAATCCTCGCTTGCCCAGCACCACCAAATGATGACAGTAAGGAGCAGTGCCGCCAGCAGGTCACTGTGCCTGCAGAGAGAGCCACACTGTCAAGAACCAAAACCCTTATGATAAGAGGCTCCGGAGAGTTGCCCAGTGCTCCTCTCTCTTCTGCCACTGAGGGCACAGCAAGGACACAACCTTTGAGACAGGGAGAGCCAACCCTAGCAGACACTGTGCCAGCTGAAGCCGTCATCTTGGACCTCCACCTTCACAGCTGTAAGAAATGAATTCCGCCGTTTCTAACATAGACTAAATGGCCTCTGGCGTGTTCTTAGAGCAACATGAATAGACCAGACCATAAGACTCACAGTATGAGCTCACTGTCGAGGTAAAAAAGGCATGAAATCAGCTGTTCTTGATGCACACACACATATAATATGAAGAAAGTCAAAAGGGACAGTCAAAGTAGTGATCACCGTGGGGAAAAGATGACAGAGGGAGCTGGCTGTGTTCTGTACTCTGTCCAGGTGGGGATTACAGGTGTACTTTCTTTGTAAATGTATCAGGGGCAGGCACCAGGCCCCCGTGGTGGTGCACACCAGTAACCCCAGCACTTAGGAGGTAGAGGCAAGGTCACCTCCAACTACTCAGTGAGTTCCAGGTCAGCCTGAGCTACATGAAACCCTGCCCAAAGAACTCAAAAACAAAAGTTTAAGTGGGCTCCTGTCACCCACCACTAGAGAGGCTGGAACAGAAGGTCTCGGGTATAAGGCAGTCAGGTTATAAAACAAAACGTGTGAACATGTTTGCATTTCTCTCGTGCAAGTCTTATACTTTGTTTGCATAAAATAAAAGAAAAAATTATTTGTTATGGGGAGTTAACACAAATGCTGTGGCCTGCATGAGTCAGGGGACAACTGTGGGAATGGGTCTCCTTCACCACGTGGGTACCAGAAATCAAACTCTGGCGTCCAGCTGGGCGCACCCTTTACCCACCCAGCCCTAAATAACTTACGAATGTTGTGCTGGATAAAGGAGCCCCATTTTAAGCTAGGCCTCCGTATCAGTGCCTACTCGCTGTTCGTCTGCATCCCTGGAGAAAAAGTTTCCATGGCCCTGACTCTGTGGCCCGCATTCAGAAATGTACAGTCGTGACTGCCTACTTGTTATGACTGACTGCTTTTCGGCTTCTGTCCCCTACTTACACAGACAGTCTAGGACTATCTCGGCAGAGCAGAACTGCTCCTTGTGGTTTTCACCTTTGTAAAAAACCCTTCCCTTGCTCCCCCTTCGAATGGCTCAAGATTGCTGTCCTGCTAGCAGTAATCAAAACATCTCTTAAATATACTTGGATTGAGTCTATGGCCTTTTCTCGGGGGTCAGAAACTCCAGAGCCATGTAAGGGCAGAGCTAAGCCAGAGGAATCTGTGACAGAAACTGAGAAGGAAGTGCCAGTCAAAAGGCGTGGAGCTGTGTGGATGCATTGCCCCGCATTGCTCCCACTTTGTAAGCGGCTTTCACGGTGCTAAGACCTCTGACTCGGTGATCTGTGAGGGGTTCTGGTAGCACGGACACTGAGACTTGCCCGCCGGATTTAACTGGGAGGTGACTGTGATCCTTATGGCTTATCTCCAGGATCTTGTGAAGCAGGCCTTCACAAACCTTAAATGCTGTATACCCCATACCTCCTGTTTCTGTCTGACGTGGGGCAGCCCGGCTTTCATCACCTTCTGAACTTGGTTACCAGGATACAGCACCTGTCTAGCCTCCCTACGGGTCTCACTCCGCCTCATGACTTTGCCAGGTGTTCAAAGGGCCCAGAACGATCTGCAGTCGTGATAGCCAACGGCCGAGTACACGGATCTACCGCCTCCAACTCAACGGACGCTCAGCGCTCCCCTCCCCAATCCAAGTTCATCGCCTGGGAAATCCGGGAGTTGACACTAGACTCAGCTCTAGGCCTTCGCTAGTGACCCCGAAACAGCACGGAGAGGCTGTGTGAGCTGACGTCTGCCTGAGGGGCTGGTGAGGGCCAGAGTGACGGGGGTCTAGTGTCAACTCCCGGATTTCCCAGGCGATGAACTTGGATTGGG